AAGCAAAAATGTAATTCTACTCGAGTAGGACATAAATAGATGTTGAGAATAACGTTGCTTCTATAGATTAGCCTATGTTTATTTTCATTTGAGGTGAGGGGAGGTTTATTCGACGCAAAAATAAATGCCCTGTGGTTATCAAGGACGTTACCAGTGCAGAAACGTTATGTCTCCAGTTTAGAACGTCGGTAGCCAGCAGAACCAGTTTGGGAAGTTGAGTGTGTACAACTTAATAGAGTTAATAGAACCCGGAAGCGAGAAAATATATATCAGCAATATAATTATTGTCGCTCATGAAGTGGCCGACGGTGGGTAATCTCCCTAGAGATAATTGTTAAGTCTGAAAAGGCTGAATTTAATATTAGACAATTCCAAATATATCATTTTGACTATTCAACAATATAAATAACTTTTATTTTGCAAAAACATTTTAAATTAGTATACTTTTTTTTATCAGCATTAGATTGCATAAGTTAATGCTTAATCTGGATGCATTGAAGCGACATTGAGGCTTCGCCAATATAAGCATTTTCAACCAATTATTCAGTAAATTAATCGATATTTTTGTCGCCATTTCATCATTTAACTATACAGTACACTTAAAATTAAGAGACGGACAAACATTCAATTTCACATGGATTTATCAAGTTTTCCTTGGGTCATCGTAGCTTGAAAATACCAATATAAAGACGGTTATGTACGGTAACCAAATTAAATTATTGTTTAGATAATGCAATTCGATACTACGAATTATGTTGCTCTGAAACAGGATACTATTCCCACGTATCATGTATGGGCTGCAAATTGTGTAAAGAATGCTGCTGCAACATCGATCCTACTTCACAGTAATACTTTGAATTTTGAATATCCACAGTAAATTTATACTATAATTTGACATTGGTTAATTTTTTAATAGATGATGTGTCTCATAGATTGTTAGGGTATCATTAGAAAGGGGCCCTCCCCAATCTCTTTAACTAGGGAGCTTTGCCCCTGAGTGCACGTCAGTACACTTCCGGGCAAGACTCTGTGTGACGTGATGGGTAGCAGACAAATTACGAATAAAACTTTATTACAATCACGTAAAAACGATTGAGGTTTAACTAAAAACGTCATGTGTTTTCCCCAAAAATCTAATCATTATCAGAAATAGCAGATATCTATTTTCCCCTCTGGAAATTGAATAAAATAAAATAAAAAGATTTTAAAAAGCATAACATTCATTAACAATTCAAATGTGCCGGCTGGTGCGGTGCGGCTGTGCTGGACTTCCCACTTCTGTTTTTATATTCAGAGGGTTACAGTTAGATAGCTACATGATTTATATTTACTTCTATTATGGACATCGTTTTTTGTTTCTAAAGTAGTGTCTACCAAACTAAGTGTTATTCTATAGTTGGTTGCAATTTATTCCCATTCTAGAATAGCTAATTACTATTATTATTATATTAATATTATCAATAATATTGGAAATATTGTATAGTAGAAACCTTATTAAGGGGACACCCTCGAACCAAAAACGTGTGGCCATATTGTTAGTAATATACAGTACCTTCTCTCGAATGTGTGGCTAAAAAGTGTCCCCTAAATAAGGGTGTTGACTTAATATAGATGTCGCCTTAACACAAAGGAGGGGTTCTACTGTATATAACAATTGCAGTGATAACCACAAATAAAGAAATATACATAAACAAATTCAAATAAATAACGAATAAACTAAAATTCCAAATCAGTACCGTAGTCACATTAAAATGATTGAAATTTAACAAAAACATATTTTTCCTTAAAATATATTATGCTTTATAAAGTATACATTTATAATGATTTAATGTTGTATACAAATTGAAAATATGTAAAAAAAATGAAGAGTGAATAGTTACAGTAAAAACAGTAAAATCTTAGATTTTGCTATATTTACATACTGTATTTACTCCTCTCTGGGTTAGTATGGAAATATATTATATATAATATACAGTACACAAATCACACAGATAACAAACCAACTTTTAAACTTTTTTTTTTTTTTTTTAATTTCCTTGTGTTAAAATAGAAATCTAAAATAATAAATATGTAATAGTATTATATCAACACTAAATTAAAATGATAATTTTAAACACATTCAGAGTTAATAATATAAATGATAATCATATAAAAATACAATTAAAAAATATGTAAAATTACCAGTAGTCATTAAATAAATATAACATATTAATGTTCTCTAGTGCAGGACTGATACATTCCAAAAGTGTTTTGCTGCATCTTTCATAGATGCAGCAAAATTCATTCGAATATACATAACCAAAATAAATGATTTTTGCTATCGATTAAGCATAGAACAAAATAAGTTAGTTTGTAGTATGCAATAGAATAGTACTATTGATATGGTCCAAGACGTTAGATAAATTTTAATAAAAATATATAAATAAAAATGGCTAGTTTATTTATTTACCTATGGCATTAAACAATGTCGACAAAAGCTAAGATTGTTACAAGCATTTTAAATGCAATTAAAAAAATAAACTACTTTATCAACAGCTTTTAATACAAGTTACAAATGAAAAAGTTACAATACAATACAATACAATACAATATTTACAGTGCATTTATAAATTTACAAATTCAAAATATATCATGAATATGAATATCAAAATATAAATCCAAAATTGTACAGTAAAGCGCTTAAAACCCAAGTAACTTTCAAATTATAGTTTTGATATCGTTCATCTGGTTTCCAATTAGAATTCATGCTTTGAAAACTATATGTTTGTTTATACTACTGAGTATGCTTGTTTACTCTCTCAGATCGTGTTTTTATTCTTACTTTTTAAGTGAACACACTTATTCCGTTATTCCGTCCGTTTTCATTGATTTTCTCGCATAAGCTTAGGAGTATATCTTCGGCATCTTTATTATATTGTTCATTTCACCCATTATATATACGGTATATTATGTAATATAATTTTATTATGTAGTTATTTATGACATATTTTGCCTGATCTCAGTCGTTATAATCTTGGTTGATTATTTTTTATCATATAATTCTATATCTTACAGTACCACTCACTCTGATTGGTTAGTTTATTATTATCAACTACGCCCTTAACATATTGTTTATGCTTTCATATCCACACTACCATATCTTATGTTTATTATGATCCTATGTTTCTACATTCACTCACATTACGGCTGCATTATATTTATATATACTCGTATTTATTTATTTCTGTACATATACCTGATGAAGGGCTATGCCCAAATATTAAAAGTTTCTGTACTCAATATATATAAAAATATAAAAAAAATAATTGTTTAGCATCCCCTCCCTACCATCAGAGAGGCCACCAACCCGATTTTGTTCTTTTTGTTTTCTTTACAGAACACTCACAAACTCCATTTAATATAGGTTTGTTTACCACCAGTCAGCACACTAGCCAGATCACTCAATTCTGATTATATTGATCAATTGTGCGTGATTATATAGAAATAATTGCATTATGACTTTTATTCATAGGTAAAGTTTCTGCTTGCTATAGATAAATTAAACATTTCTTGTATGCAATTTTAGTCTCTATTGTTTTCTTCTTTGTTTAGCTTTTTTTCCTTGCGACACTCTTTTTTCATGTTTGACATGAAAAAAAAACCTCCCTCCCTACCATGAAAATTGATAACCTAAGGATGCTAACCAATTTTTAAAATTTACTACATGGCCTAATGGTTGTGATACTCTCCTTGATAGTGAGAGGTTGCAGGTTTAAATACCGCCAGAGACTCATTTTTTCATACAACTGATATAAGGGAACTTTTCGTTGATATATACTTGATATAATTATTACAACATGTTCCTATTTGAGAAATTTATTTATCTATTTGTCTATATTGTGTCATCAAGCTGGTTCAATATTAACTTGACTCCTCGACTACAGCATTCACTCATCATATCATTCACAATTACACCAGATAAACTACAACCACTCATGTTAAGAGTACTCAGTGTAGAAGCAATAACCAATAAAGATGCTAATAATGAACCGTCAATGTCACTGAGATTATTACCACTGATATCAAGCTGCTTTAATTCTAACTTCACTCCTGCACTACAACACTCTCTCATCATATCATTCACAATTACACCTGACAAACTGCAACCACTCATGTTAGGAGTACTACCTGTAGGAGCAATAACAAATAAAGATGCTAATAATGAATCGTTAATGTCACTGAGAATATTACCACTAATATAAAGCTGCTTTAATTCTAACTTGACTCCTGCACTACAACACTCTCTCATCATATCATTCACAATTGCACCTGATAAACTGCAATTTGTTAATATAAGGTCATTCAGTTTAATAGTAATAAGTAGAGACGCTAATGAGAAACCACTAATAGTGAGGATATTACCACTGATATTAAGGCTAAATAAATCATTATACAATTTTTTTGAAAAAACATGATGAACTGCCATTGCTTATTAATAAATTGAAATGTTCAGAAGTAATTCCCAAAAATGATACAAACAGAAGCATCAATGTTACTGAGATTATTACCACTGATATAAAGCTGCATTAATTCTAACTTGACTCCTGCACTACAACACTGTCTCATCATATCATTAACAATTACACCTGAAAAACTGCAACCACTCATGTTAAGAGTACTACCTGTAGGAGCAATAACCAATAAAGATGCTAATAATGAATGCTAATGATGCTAATGTCACTAACCACAACACTTTCTCATCGTATTATTCACAATTGCACCTGATAAACGGCAACCACTCATGTTAAGAGTACTACCTGTAGGACCAATAAGGATGCTAATAATGAACCGTTAATGTTGCTGAGATTATTATTACTGATATTGAGCTCCATTAATTTTAACTTGACTCCTGCACTACAACACTCTCTCATCATATCATTCACAATTGCAACTGATAAACTGCAACCACTCATGTTAAGAGTACTCAGTGTAGGAACAATAACCAATAAAGATGTAAATAATGAACCATCAATGTCGCTGAGATTATTACCACTAATATCAACCTTCATTAATTTTAACTTGACTCCTGCACCACAACACTTTCTCATCGTATTATTCACAATTGCACCTGATAAACGGCAACCACTCATGTTAAGAGTACTACCTGTAGGACCAATAAGGATGCTAATAATGAACCGTTAATGTTGCTGAGATTATTATTACTGATATTGAGCTCCACTAATTTTAACTTCACTCCTGAACTACAACACTCTCTCCTCATATCATTCACAATTGCACCTGATAAACTGCAACCACTCATGTTAAGAGTACTCAGTGTAAGAGTAATAACCAATAAAGATGCTAACAATGAACCATTAATGTTGATGAGATTTATTACTGATATTGAGCTCCATTAATTTTAACTTGACTCCTGCACTACAACACTCTCTCATCATATCATTCACAATTATACCTGATAAACTGCAACCACTCATGTTAAGAGTACTCACTGTAGGAGCATTAACCAATAAAGATGCTAATAATGAACCGTCAATGTCACTGAGATTATTACCACTGATATCAAGGTGCTTTAATTCTAACTTGACTCCTGCACTACAACACTCTCTCATCATATCATTAACAATTACACCTGACAAACTGCAACCACTCATGTTAGGAGTACTACCTGTAGGAGCAATAACCAATAAAGATACTAATAACGAACCGTTAATGTCACTGAGATTATCACTAATTTCGAGCTCCTTTAATTTTAACTTGACTCCCTGACTACAACACTCTCTCATCATATTATACACAATTACACCCAATAAATTGCAATTTTCTAATGTAAGCTTATTCAGTTTAATAGTAATAGGTAAAGATGCTAATAAAAGAACCACGAATATTGAGGATATTACCACTGAAGTTAAGGTTAAATACATTATTAAAAATTCTGAAATAACATGATGAACTGCCATTCTTTATTAATAAATAGAAATGTTTAGAAGTAATTCCCAAAAATGATACAAAAAAAGAACCATCAATGTCACTGAGATTATTATTACTGATAATGAGCTTCCTTAATTCTAATTTGACTCCTGCACTGCAACACTCTCTCATATCATTCACAATTACACTTGATAAACTGCAACCAACTCATTTTAAGAGTACTCAATGTAGGAGCAATAACCAATAAAGATGCTAATAATGAACCATCAATGTCACTGAGATTATTACCACTGATATAAAGCTGCCTTAATTCTAACTTTACTCCTGCATTACAACACACTCTCATCATATCATTCACAATTGCACCTGATAAGCTGCAACCAGTCATGTGAAGAGTACTCAATGTAGGAGAAATAACCATTAAAGATGCTAACAATGAACCATCAATGTTACTGAGATTATTACCACTGATATTGAGCTCCATTAATTCTAACTTGACTCCTGCACTACAACACTCTCTCATCATATCATTCACAATTACACCTGATAAACTGCAATCACTCATGTTAAGAGTACTTAGTGTAGGAGCAATAACCAATAAAGATGCTAATAAAGAACCGTTAATGTCACTGAGATTATTACCACTAATATCAAGCTGCTTTAATTCTAACTTGACTCCTGCACTACAACACTCTCTCATCATATCATTCACAATTACACCTGATAAACTGCAATTTGTTAATATAAGGACATTCAGTTTAATAGTAATAAGTAGAGACGCTAATGAGAAACTACTAATATTGAGGATATTACCACTGATATTAAGGCTAAATAAATCATTATACAATTTTTTGAAAAAACATGATGAACTGCCATTGCTTATTGATAAATTGAAATGTTCAGAAGTAATTCCCAAAAATGATACAAACAGAGAAGCATCAATGTTACTGAGATTATTACCACTGATATAAAGCTGCATTAATTCTAACTTGACTCCTGCACTGCAACACTTTCTCATCATATCATTCACAATTACACCTGATAAACTACAATCATTCATGTTAAGAGTACTCAGTGTAGGAGCAATACCCAATAAAGATGCTAATAATGAACCATCAATGTCACTAAGATTATTACCACTAAAATAAGCCTCATTTAATTTTAACTTGACTCCTGCACTACAACACTCTCTCATCATATCATTCACAATTACACCTGATAAACTGCAACCACTTATGTCAAGAGTACTCAGTGTAGGAGCAGTAACCAATAAAGATGCTAATAATGAACCATCAATGTTGCTGAGATTATTACCACTGATATCAAGCTCCTTTAAATTTAACTGGACTCCTGGACTACAACACTCTCTCATCATATTATTCACAATTACACCGGATAAATTGCAATTTTTTAATGTAAGCATATTCAGTTTAATAGTATTAAGTAAAGATGCTAATGAGAAATCACTGATATTGAGGATATTACCACTGATATTAAGGTTAACTAAATTACCAATGAAAACATTATAAAAATTTCTAACATAACATGATGAACAGCAATTCCTTATTGATAAATTGAAATGTTTAGAAGTAATTCCCAAAAATGATACAAACAGAGAACCATCAATGTTACTGAGATTATTACCACTGATATCAAGCTTCATTAAGTCTAACTTGACTCCTGCACTACAACACTCTCTCATCATATCATTCACAATTACACCTGATAAACTGCAATCACCCATGTTAAGAATACTCAGTTTAGGAGCAATAATCAATAAAGATGCTAATAATGAACCATCAATGTTGCTGAGATTATTACCACTGATATCAAGCTCCTTTAATTCTAACTTGACTCCTGGACTACAACACTCTCTCATCATATTATTCACAATTACACTGGATAAATTGCAATTGTCTAATGTAAGCATATTCAGTTTAATAGTAATAAGTAAAGATGCTAATGAGAAATCACTGATATTGAGGATATTACCACTGATATCAAGATTAATTAAATTATTACCATTGAAACCGCTATAAGATTTTCTAAAATAACATGATGAACTGCCATTCCTTATTGATAAATTGAAACGTTCAGAAGTAATTCCCAAAAATGATACAAACAGAGAACCATCAATGTTACTGAGACTCTTACCACTGATATCAAGCTCCTTTAATTCTAACTTGACTCCTGCACTACAACACTTTCTCATCATATCATTCACAATTACACCTGATAAACTGCAACAACTCATGTCAAGAATAATCAGTGTAGGAGCAATAACCAATAAAGATGCTAATAATGAACCATCAATATTACTGAGATTATTATCTCTGATATAAAGCCCCTTTAATTCTAACTTGACTCCTGCACTACAACACTCTCTTAACATATCATTCACAATTACACCTGATAAACTGCAACCACTCATGTTAAGAATTCTCAGTGTAGGAGCAATAACCAATAAAGATGCTAATAATGAACCGTCAATGTCACTAAGATTATTACCACTAATATAAACCTCATTTAATTCTGACTTGACTCCTGCACTACAACACTCTCTTAACATATCATTCACAATTACACCTGATAAACTGCAACCACTCATGTTAAGAGTTCTCAGTGTAGGAGCAATAACCAATAAAGATGCTAATAATGAACCGTCAATGTCACTAAGATTATTACCACTAATATAAACCTCATTTAATTCTAACTTGACTCCTCGACAACAACACTTTCTCATCATATCATTCACAATTGCACCCGATAAATTGGAATTTTCTAATCTAAGGTCACTCAGTTTAATAAAAATTTTAAGTAAAGACTCTAATGAGAAACCACTTATATTGAGGATAGCACCACTGATATTAAGATTAAATAAATTATTACCATTGCAAACACTATAGGATTTTTTAAAATAACATGGTGAACTGCCATTCCTTATTAATAAACTGAAATGTTTAGAAGTAATTCCCAAAAATGATAGAAACAAAGAACCATCAATGTTACTGAGATTATTACCACTGATATCAATCTTCCTTAATTCTAATTTGACTCCTGCACTGCAACACTCTCTCATCATATCATTCACAATTACACCTGATAAACTGCAACCACTCATGTTATGAATACTACCTGTAGGAGCATTAACCAATAAAGATGCTAATAATGAACCATCAATGTCATTGAGATTATTACCACTGATATTGAGCTCCATTAATTCTAACTTGACTCCTGCACTACAATACTCTCTCATCATATCATTCACAATTACACCTGATAAACTGCAACCACTCATGTTAAGAGTACTCAGTGTAGGAGCAATAACCAATAAAGATGCTAATAATGAACCATCAATGTCACTGAGATTATTACCACTGATATAAAGCTGCCTTAATTCTAACTTTACTCCTGCATTACAACACACTCTCATCATATCATTCACAATTGCACCTGATAAGCTGCAACCAGTCATGTGAAGAGTACTCAATGTAGGAGCAATAACCAATAAAGATGCTAATAATGAACCATCAATGTTGCTGAGATTATTATCACTGATAATGAGCAACTTTAATTCTAACTTGACTCCTGCACTACAACACTCTCTCATCATATCATTCACAATTACACCTGACAAACTGCAACCACCCATGTCAAGAATACTCAGTGTAGGAGCAATACCCAATAAAGATGCTAATAATGAACCATCAATGTTGCTGAGATTATTATCACTGATAATGAGCACCTTTAATTCTAACTTGACTCCTGCACTGCAACACTCTCTCATCATATCATTCACAATTACACCTGACAAACTGCAACCACCCATGTCAAGAGTACTCAGTGTAGGAACAATACCCAATAAAGATGCTAATAATGAACCATCAATTTCACCGAGATTATTACCACTGATATCAAGATTCTTTAATTCTAACTTGATTCCTCTACTACAACACTCTTTCATTACATCATTCATAATAGTACCTGTAATACAACATGGGGAGCAGTTCAATGAGTAAAGTTGTGGTGCAAAACTAAACAGATGAATTATAAAAGTAGCAGTACTTAAGCTATGCAATTCAAATGTTGTTATATCATATTTGAAATTCAGTTTTTGACATTCTTCTGTTAGGCATTTAATATCATCACCACATATTTCACTTGCTATATGCAAAATATCACTTTGATCTGATACAGCAATCATTATGTGGGCAATCATTTTGCATTTTTCTTCAGATGACATTTCCTTACCAGAATAGGTTTCCAACCAAGACTTGAAATTGTCTCTACCAATTTGTCCAGAAAACTTTGAACTTGTACTGAAAATTTGCATAATTTGAAGAAAATTTTCAATTTGATTGACCTTTACATCAGACATGAAGTGATGGATAACTTTCCTTAGTGATTCACATATGCCATTTATGTGTGGCATTATTTCTAAATTTTTCTTAGTCATTTCATCAAATAGTTCCTTTACTACAGTACTCCTGTGTTCTATTTTCACAAATTTAAAATGTAGCCTTAAAGAGCGATATGTTGATAGATTGTTTGTTATCCAGTGATTAAAAAACATGCCAGCACCAGTACCTAGAAATCCAATTGCAAACACTTTTGCATTGTGCAAGTGTGTATTTTCTCTTATAATCTTCCATTCATTATCATCCAATGGCTGAAGTAACCTTTTCATGCCCACTGAGCACTCACTCTCCAATCCTGCTGCCTGACATAGTTTGCATAAGTAAAATCCTACCAATGACTCTACTATTAATTTGTGAGGAGCTGTAAAAATCTCTTCAAAATCAGACTTTCGGTTCGGTGTATCTTTGTACACAAATCCCAGTTTTAAAGCTAAGGCAACCATTTCTTCTCTTCCTTCCATTTCTGCTTTGTTTATTGAAAGTTGGTTTCGTTTTAAGCCATTATACATACACTTCCCTAACAGCAGCATCGGTTCAACACACTTCTGTGGAATATTTTTGAATACTGAGATTTTTTGCTCCTTATCTGCTTGTTTTTGAATGAACTGATTCAAGATGGTTCTAAAAATCTCTTTAAAGAGATCAGCTTTATCAGCTGGAAGGTGTTGCCTTTCTTCCCACATAATGCATACTGATAGAAGCAACATTGGATTTTTACACATTTCTTTGACGTCCACATGTTTATATTTAAATTCTGAAATCAGCTCCAACTCATCCAAAAGTGAGTCTCCTAATGCAGGTTCTTTAAAATACTCAAAATGTTTCTTAATGTAATTTCTTACATTAACTGCACTGAATCCCTTCACTTTCACATGTATGCTGCTCTCTTTAACAAACTCATCTATATTTTCAGATCTTGATGTAAGTATTACTTTGCATTTTGGCATTTTTTCTTTTTTGAATAAGCATATTGGACTCTTACTACCCACTTTCAATTCATCTAATCCATCTAATAACAATACAATGTCATTATCGTGATTCCTAATAAATCGTTTAACTAATACAGGATCTTGAGAAAGATTTGTTTCAAGATAAAAATCCTCTATGTCTATTTGTTTTAAAATACCATCCAAAAAGCTTTCACTTTTGTCAATAGTGGATATGTTGACAAGAAAGACTATTTTACCTTTGAAGGTTTTGTCTGATTCTGTGGCCCAATTGTATGCTATATACCGGAGAAGGGTTGATTTGCCAATACCACCCTCACCTTCTATTAGAACTTTACATGCAGGTGTGGATTTTATAATATTTAAAACCTCGTTCAAAGTTGTAGGCTTGACATCTTGCTTCTTTTCATTTTCTTTGAGTAGATCCAGATCAGTGAACATGTGGGCAATGTCTACTTTGTATCTAGTATTCAAAGTTGCTGGTGTGAACCGTATGGTATTGCAGCACAATTGCTGTTGAGTTCTTAGTAGATAGTTTTTAATAACCTCGTCTGAAAAAAAATCAATTATTTTTCATAAAGAACTGTCTTCAAATGGAGAACACTGTATGGCAGGATAAAAAATACAAGCTACATATAATGGCCTGAATATTAATATTATTACTTTTATTTTAATTAATTAGTAATAATACTAACATTGAATGATTTTAATACCAACAGACATATATTAGAGTGCTTTCAAAATTACATAAAAATAAATATATTGCAAGTATTTATTGTATACATAGTTACGAAATTGTTACAACTAATAATATTAGTACTGTATTTATATTCAATTAAACAAAATTAGCATTATGTATCAATGGTAAAGCTACAGTAATCATATGTACAACATGTGGTCTTAGAGCTGAAGGAGCCATTATTTACTCTAAAAAAATTGTCTAAAGCTTGCAGGGCAGAGGGCAATTGTTGATGGAAATAATGGCCCATATTTTCTATAAGGCCCAAAATATCTTGACTATAATTGCTTCATAAGTCAGTCACCCTGTTTCATATACTGTACAGTATATTTAGGCTATATATATTCAAATTGCTGGTTACGGTGACCGGTTGCTCAGTGAACAATACATTAACTACGCGAATGGGAATGCTTTCCTAGAAGGACGAGCACTAACATTCTTTACTGCTCTTTGCGATACAATACGAATAAATTGATTGTGGTTGATAAAGTTGATTTAGGTGTTATGTAGGCCTAGCCTTTTGGTAGGCATTTGTTAAATAGATGGGTAGGTGATTTAGGCTTTGTTCATGTCAACCAGCACCGTAAAACAAGATTTTTGACATTCTCTGTGCAAGTTTAGAGCTTGGCCTAGCAAAGAATTATTTATCACAATGTAAAACAACCCCAGCTTTGAAGTTTCAAATTAAAAAAAAAAAAAAAATTAATTAGTGCCTATTGCCTAGTTTGAGATAGGAAAATTATGTGCAAATGGAAGTGATGATGTCACAACTGACTCATATTTTGTTTTGTGCATGAAAATATACCATACAATTTGAGATTACACTTAAGCTCTACTGTATAAAAATATTCATGTAGGTTTTATTTTGTAATTTACTAATTTACTGTCTTTGCCTTGAGATAATCTGTTGGTTGTATAATGTGCTATATAAAAAATTGTTAACAAAGAGAACTGTTCACCCCTGCAAATACATTAAATAATTTGAGCACTTTTGTACCTTGACTTGGTAGTTGTTGATGTGTGCTTGATTGCAATCTATCGCCATTACCTGCAAAAATATATTCATTAATAAACAATTAAGGTACATCTTGTATATTAAACTACAATTTACAATTTATGCTCATGTTTCATTTTACTTTTAATGCTGTTAAAGCTCGGTTTCCATACAATCGCTACACAGTCGTTACAGCTTTTTCTCTGCAATCCTTGCACTGCGTAGCTGTCCCCAACGCAATCGGGAACGCTCTCAGATTCCACTGACCAATCAGCGCCACCAAAGGAGTCAGTGATAGCGTGTAGCGATTTGTATGGAAACCAGTTTTACAAATGCATGGCTATTATTGTACTTATGAAAATAAAGACAATGCATGATATAAACAATAAAAATATACCTATATGTTTTAAACAATCATATATCATGTTATAATACTTTGACTTGAACCAAAGTATCATATTAGGATTGAAAAATCAATACTATTTGTTAGGAAATAAAGTAAGCACAGATAAGCTTATGATTTGAAACACTTACTTGAAATACATATGCCTATATTGTAAGGGCAACCTATCTAACTCTGGACAACTGAAAATATTTTTTAAATTAAAGTCTTATCAAATACAATTTGAATATTTCATTGAATTTTTTAATGAATTTTTACATTCATAACTGGTACACTATCCAAGGATCACAACTATTTTCTACCAAACAGTTTTTAACCAAATATTATAAGTTTTAAAAAAAGCTTCAATATCTTAATTTATTAAAGATGCAGGGCAAGTTGAGTAACTATAAATTTGTCTCCTGATTGGAGGGAATTCTTTTCAATTTCAGAAGTATTGGCAGTCAAAGTTGAATGCATTCACATATATTATTATATTATTGTTTTCAGAAATTCACCTTTACATTTGATTCTGCAACTGTACATATTTGATTTTTTTAAACGTGAAAAATGTTTGTCATATGTCATATTTTGTATATTAGGCAAAGAATTTAACTAATATTATAAAAAACTTTGGTTTAATATGTGAAATATTTTAGAAGTGGTAGTGATGGTAAATCCAATAAAATTATGTGGTAGACCATAAAGAGGAGCAAGCAATGGCAACTTAAAGGCTAAATGCAGACTTGGTCTTAATGGATCGTATCGAAAAAGGAGGATTACTACAGTGAATTTGGGAATGGCCTTATAAAGCTCGATATCCACAAATTGTCTAAAAATCTTCTTAAATTAGGAGTACTTTATTATTCCAAAGGAAATTTATTTGACCATTGCATAGAACTATGTAAAAAGTGTACAAAGAACAAGGCATTGTACAACTCAACAAAACAAAAATTAAAACAAAAAGGTAAAAACAGAAAATCACATTAGGGCCTACTGAAAGAAACTTAACTACATTAACTAAACTGAATTATCGTAAATAAACTTACATCATTAACTATAATACTTCAATTGATTTTTATTTTCATTTTAAAAATGGAAAATGTATTTGAGTTTTTGAGGTCATCACTAAGTTCATTCCATAATTTAGCACTTCTGTATGATAAGCTACGTTTTTATAATGTGTTCTAGATTTGAAGGCTCTGTAAGGCTTCACTGCTAGACTCACTCCTAGTCCTGGTTATTATTTTGGCAGCTCTGTTTTGCATGACCTGAAGTTTTCAACTTTGAGATGCATTTGAGTGCCCCAGACAACATGGCAGTATTCAAAATAGGGAGCAATTACTGATTTATACATTGTGCACATGAATATCTTTTGGTAAAATAAAATTTGCTTTTTTCAGGTAGTAGAGTCCTTGCAGTGCCATGCCTTTTACATATTTGGTATGGTAGTCAATTACATAAACCTGCATCATCTGCATACAAAGAAACTTCACAATTTTGGATATCTTGAGGCAAATCATTTATGTACAGTAGAAATAATAGCCCAAGAATAGACCCCTGTGGGATACCACAGACACTTTTACATTTGCTTGAGGAAACACCAATGACACTTGTAATATGATTTCTATCAAGCAAGTAGTGCTTAAACCAGTTTATAACATTTTCATGAAGGTTAAATGATTGTAGATTTTTAAGTAGAAGCTCATGGTTGACAGTGTCAAATGCTTTTTTAAATCGATCATTACAAGGCTTACTTCCCCTTATCAATAGATTCAAGCCAGTCTTCTGTCAGATTAGGAAGAGCAAAAGTAGTAGAGTATCCTGGTCTGAAACCTGATTGATGTTCATTTAACATGCTATGAGAATGTATATAGAGATAAATTTGTTTGAAGACTACTCTTTCAAGAATCTTAGGTAGGACAGGGAGAATTGAAAAAGGTTTGTAGTTGCTTTTTTTCTGTTTTGTCACCACCTTTGTGGATGGGACATATTTTAGCACTTTTCCATTTAGCAGGGAATGTTTATGTAAATAGAGATAAATTTATTAAATAGGGGAGTGGATATACCATATTGAATCTTTTGCCAGGTTTATGAGGCAGGCAGCAATCATGTCATTTCCAGTAGCTTTTTTTGATTGAGACAGAACTTAGTGAATTATAAATATATTCATAGCCAACTTCTTTAAAATTACATTTTTCAGTATTTAAATCATTTATGATCTGTTGAGATTCATCAATGACTTCAGGAATGTTTTTTGCTAAGTTTGGACCCACATTAGAAAAATATTCATTGAGCGCATTAGCAATATCAGTAGAATTTGAATATGTGGCATATTCAGTTTTGAGATTTGTTATCAGTATTTTTACTTTTACCGGGAACAATGAGTCTTATGTTTTCCCAGATCTTTTTAGGCTTTTTGGTATTAAGCTGATCTGAAAAATATTCTTTTTTGCAAATTGTTTAAGTTTAGAATTAACTTATTAATTAAGTTTTGTATGTACTAACTTCACTTTTTCTTCCAGAACTGATTGAAATTATTTTTTAAGCATCTTAACATTTGAACATGTGATGCTAAAAACCAAATCCCCATATTTGTATTTGCATAATATTTCCATTTCAACACCAATATATGGCATGTATTTTTTTCTTTAGCTTTAAGAGTGATACATGCAGGTGTGTTAAGCTAGAAATGTAAGGAATTGGCAGGTGTACAACTGATACAATAAAAGGTGTTCAAATAATGAAGTGATTAAACTTCTGTGTACATATATGGACCTTTCAAACAACACATTCCAGGTCAGATATCTTAAAAACTAATCAAAAATCTGAATGTAACTTTAGTGATTAAATAGATGGTGGTTGGTGGTTGGAAAGCAGGAACATATTTTTGTGGATTTGTTTTATAGAAAATGATTTGCAGTGGGCAAATTATTATTATTATTATTTTTTTTTTTTTTTTTTTTTTTTTTTTTTTTTTTTTTTTATCAATTAATTTTTATTTCAATTTTAAAGTTATCTAGTAATGGTTTCATTTTACATACAGCATAAAGTGGTTAAATGACAGCATGAACATTTTTTTTTTGGATATCACTTACTCAACCTAGCTTCCATCTTGCTCCCCACCCAAGATATTCAAAACTAAAAAGAAAATACTGTATAGGTCTAGGCCTACATAATTTTTTCAACTTTTGTGATAGGCCTACATATTCAGCAAACTTTCAAAGTACCTCATTTACTGGTGTGCTAAAAATATTAATTTGCCTATCAAATAACGTTTTCTCTCCCACCTCCCTTAACCTACCAGAGATTTTTTCTGGTACCCTCATCGAGGCAGGGGTGGATTTAGGAGAAACCACACCCAACCCCCCCCCTTTTTTTTTGGCTAATGATTTTTAAAAATTTTTGTCAAATTTTGGCTAAAGACAGCTTCATTTGGCTAAAAAAGAATTGTTGGCTAAACAAAGAAATATGTTAGAGGGAGCCCAGAATATATAAAGGACCTACGGTCTGAATTTCATCGAGGTAGGAGCTAATAACATGGTGAAGGTGATTTTTTTAATGTTTTTTTTGTCCGTAGTACCGTTTTGGCTAGGCCTCCAGATATAAGATGTGTATATGAAAGTCCACAGAGTCGCATACATCACATTTTGGCCAGTTAGGCGACACAAATCACAAGTCAAGCACATTTCATATTCATATAAATTGAAGCACTTACCTTGTGTTGCAGGTAAATGAATTGTGTTAATGTTAATAACTGAGTCAGTAATAGTAGGGTTAAAGAATTGACATCCACTTCTAGAACCTAAATATAAGAAATCGTAAAAATTACCCAGAGAAACTCAAGCAAAAATTTAATTTATAATTTTTTCTGTAAAAACAGACACAATCTACATTTTAGAGAGGCTCAAGAACCAAGGAATGAAAGCGGTTTGGTGGTTTCCAGAAGAACCCATTGGGGGCCGGACAGGGCCCCCATTAAGAGGTTCCCCCTCCCCCATTAAGAGGTGTAAGCC